GGGAGGTGGTGAGTACAGGCATTTATCTACACCATCATATTGGTTTTCTCTTCTTCTTCTTAAAGACATTTTTAAAAACATTACTTGTAATACTGGTTTGGTGGTGATGAACTTCTTCAGTTGTTGTTTCTTTTTTTGGTTTGGGAAACTCTTTATATCTCCTTTAATATTAAATGACTAGAGGCCCAGTACACAAATTCATGCATGGGTGAGTCCGGCCACCTGCCCGGATGGGGGCTGATTGTGGTGGGGCTGGCTTGGGGAAAGGCCATGGGCAGTTGGCCGGCTGCCCCGCCCCTGATCGGGGGTTGGTGGAGGCCGATCGGAGGTGGAGCCGGCTGGGGGGAGGGGCTTTGGGGGCTGGGCCAGCCTGAGGGAGGAGCCACAGGAGGTTAGGGGGGCCTGATCATGGCCCTGATCAGGCCAGTTGGCTGCCGCAGTGCACATCATAGTGACCGGTCGTTCTGGTCATTCCAGTTGTTCCGTCGTCTGGTTGCTTAGCTTTTATATATGTAGATTGCCTTACTGGATAGAGTAATCTCAATTATAGCTTCTTGCTTTTTACCACTTTGAATATTTTGTCAGAAATCAGCTGACAGTCTTATGGGTACTCCCTTGTATGTAACTAATTGCCTTTCTTTTAAGATTCTCTCTTTGTTTTTAACCTTCACCATTTTAATTATGATGTGTCTTAGTGTGGACCTCTTTGGGTTCATCTTGTTTGGGACACTCTGTGCTTCCTGAACTTGTAAGTCTATTTCCTTCACTAGGTTAGGGAAGTTCTCAGTCATTATTTCTCTAAATAGGTTTCAACCCTTTGCTCTTTCTCTTCTTTTGATACTTGTATGATGAAAATGATGTTATGTTTCATGTTGTCCCAGTGCCCCCATAAACTATCCTTTCAAAAAAATTTTTTTTATTGTTCTGATTGGGTGTTTTCCACTACATTGTCTTCCTAATTACTGATTCAAACCTCTGCTTTAGCTAGTTTGCTGTTAATTCCATCTAATGTATTCTTCATTTCAGATATTGTATTTTTTATTTCTGATTGGTTATTTTTCATGTTTTCTATCTTCTTTTTGTTTTCTATCTCTTTCTTGAAGTTCTCAGTGAGTTCATCTATTCTTTTCCTAAGTTCATTGAGCATCCTTATAATCAGTGTTCTGAACTCTGCTTCTGGTAGATTGTTTGCCTTCATTTCATTTAGTTATTTTTTCTGGGATATTCTCCTGTTCTTTCATTAGGGACATGTTTTTTTTCTTCTTCTCATTTTGGCTGTCTCCCTGTGTTTGTGTCTATGTATTAGATAGATCTGCTATGTCCCCTAATCTTAGAAGTGTGATCTTATATAGTAGGTGTCCTGTGGGGCCCAGTGGCATAGTCTCCCTGATAATCTGAGTTGGATGCATCAGGGGTGTCCCTTGTGTGGATCATGTGTACCCACCTATTATATTTGAGCCTTGATTGCTGTTGTCATTTCAGTGGGATAGATTTGCCCTCAGGCTGACTGACTGTAAGGACTGGCTGTGACCACAGTGGGTGGGATGTTGTTTGTGGGCTGATGCCATGGAGCTGGTTTCATTTTAGTGGACCACTGGTGTCTTCCAAGTCTACCCTTTGTCATTTGTGTGCTAACTGGGTCATGTTCTTTTGATGTCTGAAGCCAACCACCAGGTGTTCTGATGCCTGGTAGGAGGGGTTCCAGTGCAGGCCAAGGTAAACTGCTACCTGTGTCTGGCTAGGGGCCACCTGGTATTAGCCACCAAGTGATCTGCCGTGGTTAGTTGCCTGTATTGGGAGTGGATATGCCTGGGAGTGGTTATGAACTGAGGCTGGCTGCCACTAGTGTTGTGCTTGGATACAGGGAACACCTAGGCCAGCCACTGCTTGTTTGGAGTAGTGGACCTTCAACAGATTTTAGGACAGTCCACAGCATAGACCAAGGCTGGCCACTTGTGAGGACCAGCCTCTGATGAAGGTTAGGGTGGCACACAAGTTGGTGGGGCTGTGTCTCAGAGAATCACCAGGGTGGGGTTAAAGCAGTGTTATTGAGGTTAATGGAGAGTCAGATATAGCACTGGCCTGCTCCTGCAGGCTGGGTTGGGGTGAGGGCTCAACAAAGCAACAGTGGTACCCTGCTGCTCTTTAATCCAGAGAGAGTTGCCCCTTCAGCCCTTGCCCTGAAGCCAGACAATTCAGTTCCTCCCATATGTCCCTGGCACTTTTTGAGCTGCTGTCCCTTCTCCAGGGTGAGTGTTTGTGAGGAAGTGAATCTGTGTTCAGGCCTTTAAGAGAATGCCTACAGCAGCCCTCCATCTCACCCACACTGAGTCTCTGCTGATTTTCACAGCTAGCTGTGTGGGAACTCCTCTTTCTGGCATTGATGTTCTGGGCTGGGGAGCCCAGTGTGGGACTGGGACTTCTTATGCCTCCCTCAGCAGGACCTCTGCAGCTGATATAACCCTCCCAATTCTTAACTGCCCCATCATGGATGGGAGACCAGCCCATTTTGCATCTCTGCCCTCCGACCAGTCTTGATGTGCCTTCTTCTTTGTCACCTTAGTTATAGGAGTTCAGTCTTCAGGTGGTTCTCAAGAGTGGTTGTTCTATAATTTAGTTGTGATTTTGATGTGGTTATGGAAAAAGGTAAACATGATATTTACCTACTCACGAGTCCACCATATATTTTTATTTTGCTTTAAACAATTTAATATCACATAGTGATTTTTAAAGTAGAGAAAAACAATATTTTATGCTATTCATATATTTTCCATTTCCAGTGCTCTTTATTACTTTGTATAGATTTGAATTCCCCTTAGATATATTTTTTCTTATGCTTGAAGAACTTTCTTTAATATTCTTGTTAAATTATGCTAGCAATAAATATTTTCAGCTTTTGTTTGTCTCAATGTCTTTATTTGGCTTTTAGTTTTGAAAGATATATTCACTGCCTTGGAAATTTAAGTCGACATGTTTTTTGTCATTTAATACTTCAAAAGGTGTTATTGTCTTGTGACTTGCATTGTTCTTGATGAGATGTCTTCTCTCATTCTTAATTTAGATCTTCTCTCTTAATATGCTTTTTTTCTCATATGGCTTTTAACTTTTGTCTTTGTCACTGGTTTTCAGGAGTTTGATTATGATTTGTGTATACTGGTATATGGTGTGTGTGCATGATGTGTGTGTGTGTGTGTGTGTGTGTGTGTGTGTGTGTGTGTATTTTCATGTTCTCTCTGCTTGGGACTCATTGAGCCTCTTGTATCACTGCATTTATAGCTTTCATCAAAATTGGGAAAAGTTTGGTCATTATTTCTTCAAAATCTTTTTCTGTCCACTTTCCTTATTTTCTAAGACTTTATTTACATGTATGTTAAGCCAACTGATATCATCCCATAACCCACTGATGCTCTCTTAATATTCTCTGTTCTTCTTTGTTTCATTTTAGATAGTTTCTACTGCTTTGTCTTTAAGTTCATTAATCTTTTATTATAAATCACCTGATCTACTGTTAGGAGCACAAAGGGTATTTTTCATTTCAGATATTGTATTTTTCATCTCTATAAGTTAAATTTGTGTGTTTTACAATTCTTTTAGTTCTTTTTCCATTATTTTCATGGTTTTCTCTACCTTTAGAAAGTTATGGCCTATATTATGACAGTAGTTTTAATGTTTTGTCTACTAACTCTTTAACTGTTTCTCTGTTGGTCTGTTTCTATTGATTGACTTTTCTATTGATTCAATCCTATATTGCTACATTTCTGTATGATTGGTGATTCTTTATCGGATCCCAGGAATTTACATTGTTATAAATGGAGTACTAGAGTTTGTTGCATCTTTTCAAATAGGTTTGCCTTTCTTCTAGATGCAGTTACATTTCTTGGAATCAGTTTAATTTTTTTGAAACTTGTGTTTGAATTTTGTCAGACAGATTTATTCTGGAGCTTATTTAGTCTCCTTACTGAGACCACACCCTACTGAGGGGTTTAACTGCTTTTTCTGTAAGGAGGTCACTCTTTCTTGCTCGTGGAGCACAAGCCACTCCTGGTCCCGTGTCAATTCTGAGGATTGCTTATGCACTCCCTGATGACTGTTCTTTCCCCAGCTTGTTTGTTTCTTCACATCCTTGTGCAGCTTTGTACTCGAGTGAGGGTTTAAGGGGCCCCTCTGCAGATCTTCAGAGCTTCCTTATTCTGTGAGTCTCCACTCTGTCTCACAAATTCTACTTGCCTAGTCCTCTGTCTCCATAACCCAATAAGTCCAAAGGTTCTGTTGGGTTCCCTTCCTTGTACTGAATCCTAGAAACTCTCTAGGCAGTGACTTGGGCACTTGCTAAGCTCACTTTATGTTTTCCCCCTTTCATATGTCGAATTCTTAACCTCAGGTACCTCAGAATGCAACTGTATTTGGTATAGGGCTTTTAAAGAGGTTATTAAGGTTGAATGAGGTAACTAAGGTGGGCCCTAATCTAATATGACTGGTGTCCTTATAAGAAGAGCTTAGGATGCAGACACACAAAGGGAAGCCACGTGAAGGCACTGAAAGAGGATAACCATCTGCAAGCCAAGAGGAGAGGCCTCAGAAGAAACTAACCTGCCAACTTCTTGATCTCAGGCTTTTAGATTCCAGAACTATGAGAAAATAAATCAGTTGCTTAAGCCACCCAGTCTATGGTACTTTGTTATGATAATCCTAGCAAAGTAATATGCCTCATTTGGTTCCCTTTTCTCAGGAATCACTGTTCTATGATATCTGTGTTCTAATGAGTTATAATTTGTCTGGTTTTCTAGTTATGTAGGTGGAAGGGTAAATCCAATTCCTGTTTTATCATTATGTCCAGAAGCAGAAGTCAGTCACTCAGGAATATCTGCTCAAGTTCTAGCTGTGATCCAAGAAGAGGTGACTGTTCATAGAAGCTCAGGTTAGAGGGAAGTCTAGTGGCGATGGTGGAAATGTGGGTGGAAGAGGAAAAGGGCTGGACCACTGTAGGAGGATACTCAGAGTTCAAGGGGCTTAACTACATAGAAGTTTATTATCTCTCCTGTAATACACGGTAGGCATCCATGGCAGCTAGACGGGGCCAGAGCTCCCTCCTTCCCACTTTTCTGCTGGCTGTATGGTTTTCTTCTGTGTTTGAAGCCAGAGGTGGCTTCCTGCACACCCATGCTCCAGCTTGCAGAAATGGAGGAAGTGCACGTGTTTTCCACCTAGTTTCCCTCATGGCCAGGCTGGCTGCAGGGCATCTTGGAAATGCATTTAGCGGAGCCATCATGTATTTAGATAACATTTCTGTTTCTGTGGAAGAAGGGGAGAATGGTAACAGTCCATGTCACACAGACAACACTCTTCTGCCTGGTAAGAGAGAAGACACTTTTTCGATGGGCTGCAGGAGTGAACTTACCTCCACAAAGCCCTGCTCACCAGGTAATATCCACAGTAAGTGAGCTTTCCAGGAGGTGGCAGAGAGTTGTTTTGGGATGGTGCATCCCAACTTGTCTTATGGCTGAGAAACAGCTGTACAGAAAAATCCCTCGATGGTCTCATGCCTGATCCTGAGTAAGAGGAGAGAGGAATGAGTAAACCTAAAAGATTTAGCCCAAAATTAAATTCTGAGATATTATGGAAACGTGATCTATGCTGAACATAAAATGCAGGCATTGAGTGTGATAGATGAACTATTGAACTTAGCTTTGGATCATATTTTTCAGGCTAAACATCCTTACAATATCCTCCAGGAGTGTTGTTATAACCTCACACCACAACATTGCTGAGAGTTTATCATTTGTTACAAAATTGTCAGATGACAGAAGTGTTCTGGTTGCCCAGTAGACATGAACAGAGCCAGGTGCACATGGGCTGCCTCTTCTATCCAGGGATTTGGAACTGTCCTACATGCCTGCCGGTGGTCTTAATCCAGCATCCAGAAGGGTTCAGGAATATGGAGAAGGGCTGAGTGTAAATTAAATAAGAGCACAGAGACAAAACATAATTTTGGAAGGCATTATGGGGAGTCAGAGAAGACTTAGATAAAGGAAATAAGTTCTCATTGTTCAGGTCTCCTAGCTCTTTATTAACACACTTTGTCCTAAAGCAAGGTAGATATACATATCAAAGGGTAGGGCTACTATACAGAATCCATTGTCAGATTGGGGAAAAACTGCCTATAGCTATTCAGGTTTTTGGCCAGTAGGAGGCAATAACATGTAGATTGAAATGCCCTCAGCTATCTGGCAGCAAGCAATCATTTTATGCATCCTTTTCAGGTTTGGGGAACTGCCCTCAGCCATTTCCAGATGATTCAGCCCTGCTGACATGCTGGAACTGGCTTCCGGCACATGCTTTCCTCACAGGTTACAGAGGATGCCCATATGAGTGGGTTTCTGGGCCCTCACCCCTGTTTAAAGAAGTCTTCTTTCATCTGATTTATATGTTAGGCTTCCAGCTAAGATTTCATTGGAACAAAAGGTCCTAGGGTTTTGAAAATATAAAGTATAAAGCAGCTCTTTTACAATTTGCTTGGTTGATGCAACTTGAATGTTTGTATGAATAGATAATTTCAAAGCCCATAAGATAACCTGAAAGGACACCCATCTCCTTTGCACACTCTGTCTCTTCAGCCTGGGGTCCCTCCCGATGGTCTGAAGCAGTCCCAGCTGCTGAGCCCCGAGGACACAGCTGTGGCACCACTAATCCTTCTGCAGGCTGCACAGCTGCATGTTCTTTGGCGGTTCCCACCCCTCCACCATGCCAGCCTCCTTAGGGGGCTTCCCATGGGCAGGTGGCCAGCATAGAGTGCAGTGGGACCCTCTACCTATACCACATAGGCAGTTTTGCGTTTGCTGATGCCATATCATCATTTTGGAGCAACCCCAGTCACTCTGCAAATCATCTTTCGTTAAGTGCAATAAACTGCTGAATCCTATCTATAAAGTTTTATAATTCTTTAGTTGGTGCATTAATCTCTTCCCTTGAGGTAGTATGACATCTGTTTTATCTACTTGTCCTACTAAGCTTTAGGTAATTGATAGATATGATATTTATGCTGCGATGGCTTCTTCTAAATTATAGGCGAGGTCCTGTGGTATGCCACCATAAACCAAAGACGTCAGGTTGACAGTGATTTGACTTGGCCCCATAGATGATTCTGAAGCCTTTGGTTAAAATCTAGGTCCCTCAATGAAATAATTGGAAAAAAGTATAAATCAATCATGAACAGTTGAAAAGTCATTTCCAGACTGATTTACATTTATTAGGGCCATGATGCATATTTAAGAGGCACATTAAAAGGCTGGGTTCAGGTCAAGTATTGGGTTTGCCATGATTTTAACAACTCAGTGTTTCAGGGTCTGCCCTCCTCCTTCCCTTCTAAGTGCTCAGCACCACACTGGCTAGAAGAGAGAAGCAGCCAGGACTGAGCCTTGTTGTGCCTGCATCTCTGCTCTTTGAAAGAGCTGATGAAAGGAGTTTTTAGGGGTAAAATAGGCAGGTTTAGAGAGTTTTAGGAATTAGGGGGCCCATGGGGCAAAACCGCAGAGCTGCGAAGCTGAGAGCTGCCAGAAGAGAAACATTCACAGAATAAGAGGTCTTGGAGCTGCCAAAGGGTGTACATTTACAGAATAAAGGGAGAGGAAGCCACACATTCACAGAATAAAGAGGAAGGCCACAAGAAGTAGAAAAAACAGGAGAAAAAAAAGGGAACCCCACGTGAGGTTCGAGTTCCGAAGCTGCTATAGTGACCAATCAGAGGGGATATTCGAACACAAAGAACTGCTGCCTTTATAAACCTAAGAAAGAGGGACTTGGTGGGTCTCTCTCTCCTTCCCCACGTGGGAGTGTGTGCTTGTTTCCCAATAAATTTCCACCTTTTCCTATACCACCTTTTATCTGTGGCTTCCTTCTTTGAATCCACCTGGACAGGAACCCGGGAAATCACCTTTGCATCCAAAGGAAAAACTGATAGATCCTCCCTTCCCCCAAATGGTGGGCAGGGTATGATGTAACCTACAGCCCAGAAATACGTGAGTGACTAACCAGGTACCTTATATGGACTATACATTGGACCACCAATCCACACCTGCCAAATACCCTAAGCCCTTGTCCTATATGGACAATGCAGTAAGCCACCAATCAGTGTGCGCCGAGTACACTAAGCCCCCTAACCCTTCCCATTCCGCCCCTCAAAAGGCGTGCCCACCCCTGCACGTGCTGTCCTCCCCTTGTGAGGCAGCCCGGCAGGTGCTTCTCCTCTAATAAAGCCTGTAGTCCTGGTTTTTCGCCCTCTGTCTGATTTTTCAAAAACCATGCATTCCAGTTTAATTTTCGCATTTCACTGACATTAGAGGTGAAGCCTGGCTGCAGAGTGGGAGATTTGCACATCAGAAGACATGTGTGAGGATCAAAGCTTTCAATAGAGAGAGAGACAGAGACAGAGAGAGACAGGGAGAGAGAGACAGAGAGAGATAGGGAGAGACTAATAGCACTGATATCCAAGGAGCAAGCTCTGAGTCCAAAGATACAGGTAGTTCTGCCAAACTCACAGAGATCCCGGTTGAAGAGTGGCTCTGTTCCCTGCTCTCTGCCTCTGTCCACACACTACCTGGCTGGCTAGGAAGAGGTCAGGCAAGGCGTGGATGTTGCACTGGGAGGAGTTGTGGGAAGGATGTGGAGGTGCTGGTCTTGCAGGCCCAGAATTCCTTTCCCCTCTTCCAGAGTCTTTTCTGAGAAGCCATTTCTGACCACCGCTGTCTCGAGGGTTCGACCCTCTTTTCTCCTTCTTGCTCTTAGCAGACAGCTGGAGGCTATTCCACAAACAAGAATTAGGCACTGGCTTGGCCCAGCCCCTCCTTGTACTGTGAGGGCTTGAGGCCTTTATAAAGGAATCAATTGGAAAGTAAACTTGCTAAGAAGACAGCCTGTCAGCCAAGTCTGTTTTTTTTTTTTCTTCTTTCAAAAATCTTTTAGTTTGAGATAATTTTAGACTTAATAAAGAAGTTGCAAAATAATACAGGGTTCACTATACCTTTCACCCAGCTGCCCTTAATGTTGACATCTCACACAGCATGAGTACGATGGTCTCAATCAGAAAACTAACACTGATATGATTCTAATCAGCCTTGTGTTAATTTTGCCCTTTGTCTATGGGGAGTAGAAAAATGTTAGAAAACAAACATCCACTTTCCTGCCCAGGTCCCCACTTTGTATCTGTTGTGCCTCTTCGTTTCCTCCAATCTGTGACGGCTGCTCAGCCTTTCTCTGCTGCTTAGGACCTGTCAGACTTAATGGGTCAATCCATAAATGCTGGCTGAGTGGGCTCAGCACTTAAGTGAACCTAGAATGTGTGAGCTTGTATGAGGTATTGCATGTGTATGTATGTAAACATTTGTAGGAGTGTGTATGAATATGTGTGGGGTGGTAGGTCCTCTATGTATAGCTGTTATGAAAATCTATTATTTCCTTCTCTTTTTTTTAAATATATTTTATTGATTTTTTTTACAGAGAGGAAGGGAGAGAGATAGAGTTAGAAACATCGATGAGAGAGAAACATCGATCAGCTGCCTCCTGCACACCTCCTACTGGGGATGTGCCTTTAACCAAGGTACATGCCCTTGACCGGAATCGAACCTGGGACCCCTGAGTCTGCAGGCCGACGCTCTATCCACTGAGCCAAACCGGCTACGGCAAATCTGTTATTTCTTTAAACCAAATTAAGACATTTAACTTTTCAACTGAAATTTGTTGAGTGTCAATTTGGTGGCAAGCACTGTACTGATTTGAAACTTAAGGGAAGTGTGGAGAAGTAGCTCATGAACACTGATGTCTAACCCTGCCCTGGGTCAGTGCAGTGGGAGGCCAACACTGCTGCCTGAAGCAGACACCAGGCTCTGTGAGCATGGAAGCCAGCAGGTAGGGCTTGAGAAGTGACATTTTAGTTGAGACCGGAGGGTTGAATGGGAGTTCACCAGGAGTGACAGGCACCTAGGTGTGGGTCCCCAGAAAAGGTGAGAGAAAGGGTGCATTTGGAGAGGAATCACCCCTATGTCAGGCTCTATGCCAGACACTGCACATTTCTTCCACCCTTCCACCCCAGAGAGCAGGCATTACTGCATCGTCCTCACTTAAAGACCAGCTGAAGGTAGCTCAGAGGCTGGTGACATGCTCAAGACCACAAAGCCTGCAGGAGGCCACCTGAAGGTCTAAACTCAAGAAAAGAAAACCTGTGCCTTGAATTTGAGGTCAGAGGATGGCAGATGAAGCCTCGTGAGGAGTGAAGGAAGGGACCTGAGATCTGGAAAGAGACATAACCAAGTTCAATTTTGTTCTCCCCTGGTTTCCTGGCTGCCAGAGGCTCGGGCCATGACTGGCAGTGGACTCAGAGGCTGGGTTCATAGGCATCACTTTTCTGATGGACATGTATGACCCTGCGACCTGTGAGCAGAGTGTGACACAGGGCGGGACACGGACCCACCAGCAGGGCAAGATTTGGGACTGGTGATGCCGGGGCTCCTGGGTGAGCTGATAAAATCAGCAATAGCAGCAAATGCCCACCTG